CCCTGAGATGGGGGAGCCGCGGCCGGGCCGGGCCGGGCCGGGCCGGGCCGCGCTCGAGCAGCAGCCGGGGCCTAGTCGCTCTCGCTGGAGTCACTGCTCTGCTCGCCCTGCACCTTGTTGCGGTGCTGCATGGCGCGGTGGTAGGCGATCTGCACCGACTTGCGGATGTTTGACTTGCGGCCCTCCAGCATCTTCTCCTTGTCCAGGTCCTGGTTCACCCCGAGAGGCACCAGCTTGGTCCGGGGCAGCCACTGCCTACAGGGAAAGGGGCAGCTCGGTCACCGTGCAGCCCCCACCCCCCGCGCGGCCCGGGGAGCCCGGCCTCCTCCTTACCAGGTCCGCTTGTTGTCAAAGAAGAGGACCAGGTAGAGGTGCTCCCGTGCTTCCTGAGTCATCTGCTCGCCCAGCTTCAGCACCTCCAGGGGCGGCACGGGGATAGGGACGCCATGGTGGAACATGCCCTCCCGCGGCATTTTGGGGTCGATAATCTGCCGGTGCAGTGGGGAAACAAAGCCAGGCTGGGGTGAGCAGGTGTGGGCCAGAGCCCGGCCGCCCCAGCCCGGCTGGACAGTTGGGCGGGTGGCCAGCTCAGAGCAGACCGAGCTGCTGGCTCCGCCGGGGGAGCCACACAGCATCGTGCTCCAGCAGAAGCCCAGGTTTATACTGCTAACACTCGCAGGGGCGTAGAGACATGGGGCTGGAGAGGTCTAGTTCAAGCCCCTGCCTGAGGTGGGATCGGCCCCGCCCAAACCTTCCTGTACAAATCCTGTCTAGACTCCTCATAAAACTACCATCGACCCTGACAGCAGACCTAACGCTTACACCTACCACAGGTAACACGGACCCACAGCGGCCAACACCCCGCTTCTATCGAACGTCAATATACAGTCAAGAGGTCCCGGGTAGAGGCCGTGCCCCTGCTGCAGCCCCCCACTCTGTGCCAATCTAACCATGGTACGGACTGACCCCAAATCTGACATCAGTTTGACCCCAGGTGCAGACCCTCCAGCCTGGACCCTGTGGGGTTGGTCCCAGCAGGAGCATTGGCACAGCCCAGCCCCATCCCCAGCCCAGGCTGCAGCAGTACCAGCACTGCTGGGGGAGGCTTAAAACCTCCCGATACATGGAGCAGAGGGGGGAGGGCGAGGGTGCAACTGG